CGCCGCGAAGAGGCCTCTGCCCCAGTTGAGGTCTCGCGAACCCGCGGAAACCGCGAAAAGAAGGCCGGGCGGGTGGTGGCTCGGTACCAGGCGTATCAACGGGCCCAACGAGGTCGCAAAAGCGATCACCGCCGAAGGAGAATATGTCATACCCAGGTGCATTGTACTAGGCGACTGTGGGCTGGAGATTGACACTCATATCGCTTTTCAGAGACATGGTTTGCGCGGTCATGATGGACAATGGTCCGCTTGGCTTTGAGCTGTGGTATCATGCTAACAGCACCCATATTCACCGGGGTGTGCTCCAGTCCAAGGGTCTTCACCATGAGTACAGCGCTGATGGACACGAGAAGCTCTCAAGCATGGCCCTGCAGATGGGTCCGGTAGGTATGGGCATATACGCCTTTCGAGAGAAGCTCTTGGGGTGTCCGATGCACATGGTAGTTCTGCCCAATGCACGGCTCAGTGCTGCCGTGGCCCATATCTATGTCGACATGGTGTCCAAGAATGGCTGTAGGTGTCAGTGCACTCAAATTTCTTACACAACTAACATATCATTGCAGTCATCCCACACCAGATCACAACTGATCACGGCTCTGAGACGGGCTATATGTACGCCATACATTGTGCACTGCGGTGCGTGTACCCGGATCATTTTCCTTTCAGGGACATGCTGATCATTGTCTAGGAAAACATTCACCCCCAAACTTGACGAGACTGAATGGCCACCCTTCGTGGCCATCAAGAGTACGCACAATATCTCCATCAAGAACTTGTGGTCACGGTGGCTCAAGTGGGGGGGTAGGATGGCGTAGTAGGGCAGGAAACGGTACGGATGAGCTCCATTTGTAGACGACGAGTTGGATGTGTAGCCTGATCGTAATTATGCAACCCGGACCTCAGGGTGTTCAACAGTACATATAGTATATTCAGATGTATCACATAGTACAAAACCCCAGACCATAAAATTGATTAGTACAAATGTCCAAATACACGCCGTGAGCAGTTGCCCCTCATTCAAAGGTGCGTTCCTCCGAAGACAGTTCCATGTCCGACCCGTTGGTATCAGTGCTCACCTTCACCTTCACTTTCCCCTTGTCCTTCAGGTCAGCTTCAGAGAGTGTGCTGAGTTCCAGTGCCGCACAGTGCGTTGCACTGGTGGTCCTCTACAAACTTGCGTATACCCGCGGGCCCATGGTTGCCAACACCTGATTGTCTAGAATAGAGAGCAACATCAGTTTTTGCTGTACACGAGACCAACATGAGTACATACCCTGCCTCCGTGTGGGTCATTATGTCGAACAGTACCTTGCCATACATACCTGGACTGCCATTTGTATGCTTCCCGTACGAACCTAGTATGGCGAAGTTGATGGTAAGTAATCAAATGGTCAGTGTGCAAAATAAGGAATGATGTACTCTGAAGATTGACAAGGACAGCACTCTTCTCGGTAAACAGAAATGAGAAGTGTGCAAACGCACTCATCATCGTATGCCACTTTCCAGTGCAGTTTGGGTGCAGCATTGTGCCTGACCATTTCTCTACAGCCACTGAACGATGTGGTTTGAGCAACCACACAACTCCGGCATCCCAGTCGCTGAATGTCGTCTTGTTCTTCCACTTGTACTTCGAGATGCCAGATGCAGACGAGGGGGTTCCGTCTGGACGCTCGATGGTCTCCTGTGCAAGTAGCCACGATGTCACTGAGTAGTCTGAGAAATTGGGGTCAGTCGTTGCCAAAGGGTAAAATTCTGGGGGCTTACCTCGCGCAACCTCGGCACCCTTCTGATCAGCAAGTGCGTAGAATTCCTCAAGGCACCTTGCGGCCAGGGCAAGGTGCTTAGCATTGAGAGTGAGGTACTCAAGGTTGTCCTCACACAACACCATCCCTGCACCTTTGCCCACATTGAAGAACCGCTTGGCAATGTACTTGCGTGGTTTCTCATCGCCTTCATGGAGCTCGAGCTACATAATATGTAAGCACAACTGGGAAGGACTTGGAGTGGGGCGCTTACATGATATACTCGTTTGGTCGTCCCAGAAGCCTCCTCCGTGATGCCAAGGGTGGCACGTAGGATCTGTGCACCATCGGAGATGTCCCACAACACTGTAAATATCTGCTGATCATCAAAGGCGCCCTTGGCGACTAGGAGCTCCACATCCTCCCAACCCCGTCACCCAGAAGCAACGGTACCAGAGGTGGCATGTGCAGGTTTAACCGTCGACATCAGCTGTGTAGCCATGTGTGTTATAATAAGATGGTCAGGGATAAGGCCGGTCAAATAACAGTGGAGTGACATACTGTGTGCACGCTTGCTGTTTGCGCTGACGACTGCACTGTCCTTTTCAAGTGCCCGTTTAGGAGGGCACCCTCGCACCCCGCCTTTGGCCTGTACAGATGTGGCACATCCTGTATGCTCCTCAAACTGTAAAGTATGATGAGCTATAAGCATACAGAAATTTGGTCAGAGCACGCACCGCCTGAGCATCAATGAGTATCTCAAGGAGGACCACCTCCCCCTTGAGACCCTTCATTGTCTTGGGTATGTTCCCAAAAAAGACGTCGCAGTTTCTGAGGGTATAGTGGTCATCGTAGAACTGACCAAGCTTCTTGTGCTCGGTACCAGGCTCTGGGAGAATATTCCCTGACCATCGCAGAGAGATATCCTCCCTGGAATGAGGTATAAATATATGGTGACCATTATAGAAAGCAAGGTACTCACCTACTCAGACTTTGATTGACCCTCGAGTTCCATGTCGACTCATTCCAGGATTTGATGCATTCGTCGACTATGGCTGAGTCACATCCTTGTCAGTCTCAATGTAGATGTTAAGATAGATGCAGTGGCTGACCGTCCATGTCCTTGTCAGCAGGGTATGCACGTTGAATTTGTCCTAAAGAGTGGTACAACTCCTTCCTGATGCGAGCTTCAATGCATACCGTGATAAACCTATCAGGTCGGGCAGACACAGTGGTGTTCATGCGCACCGTGTTGGTCAAACCAGCGCGCGGCCCCGGTGGAACTGTGCGTGGTGTTGGCGGTTTTGCAGTGGTAGTCTTGCTGCTCCATGCCTGGAACACGTTGGTGTGGGTGGTCTTCATAAGCCACACAGCATCCTGTTGATGCTGAGAGGTATGTGCTGCTGAATTCCCATTGCTGTCCAGGGATGACAGATCTGGCATGAAAATAAGTGAACTTGTCATACTCCAAAGATATGCAAAATATGCGCACTGTTGCAACGGCCACACATCTTTGTGACCACATTGAAGCACTTTCCGCATGAGCCGCACCCTATGCAGTGTACATAGCTCTTCAAATAATTATTAGATCAGTAGAGTAAGCACTTATGGGGATGACTCACTAAGATGTCTTCCGCTAGATTGTGCTCGCCCTGGTCATCGTGCTTCTTCACCAGAAAGCACCTTGTACACAGTCCTGGGTCTGTCTTGTACGGAAAAACACCCCCGCACCCTTCTATTCCCTCACAGAGGGAAGGATCGACGGTACCATCAGGAGAGGGGGGCGGTGGCGTAGATTGAGTAGTGGGGGTCATTGTTCAGTGGCGTCTCAAAGGGAGGCTTTGAGAGATAGTAGGCGAAGAGATATGTTGAGGAGCTTCTGCTCGCATGATCCAGCCTTTATATACATAGAATTACATCAGCATGGAGCTAGACAGTCCAAGCTATAGGTCCAAGCCAGTGTGTCACTTGGACATGCTGGTGCAAAGTGTTGTGGCCGGTGATGCGCACTCACCGCGCCTGCCGCCCGCCGCGGTGTGGGCACCGCCCTTGAGCTCAGACCGCCCCGACGCGGACTCCCTGTCGGATACTGTGCCCCGACGTGTGCCCCGCGCAGCCCTGAGCCTCCCAGAAGGCTGCCTGGGTGCCCGCATACCACCCCCATTCGCCACCCGCGAGTTGAGCAAGGCAAGCCGCGATAAGCGGCCCTGACCAAGAGCGCCAAGCCCGCCAAGCATCGGGGTTCGAGGGTGGTACGAAACACCCGATACACTCATCGGGGGTCGCGGCGCATACACCCCTGCCCACCAATCACACCACGCGGTATGCGCGGCCCTGACAGCCTAGGCAAGGCCAGTAGAGTGCGGCTCCCGTAGGGGTCCGATCGTCGCGCCCGTCGCGCCGTGTGTGATGGGTGCATCTTTCATTTCTTATCCTTCCCGTACGGCTCCGGCCCCTCCTGTATATACGCGGGCCCCGAGCACTGGGAAATCCACTTCCTCTTACCCCTTCAGAGCTCAAGTTCGCGTTTGCGCCTGCAACTGCGACTTTGACTGTGTTTGCGAACCTCCCCCGACAGTGCCCCGACACCCTCGCCTACGTCGAACACAGTGAGTACTTCTCAGATGTCACAGCACACCGGTATCCCGCCTCGCATCGCATCCGCCGATTAGCGTCCGCGCAATCCCCTACCCCTGGGTCCAGAGCGATAAGCTTGCTCGACCCCCTCCCTCCTCCGCGCATCCACGTTTGTAGGGAACTTGGGATCATACTCGGAAACCCCCACACACACAAGTCACTTCTTGGGTCTCGTCCTCTCGGCCCATCAACCCCAGCGTCCTAGCGGCCATTACGGGAGGCTTGAGTGCATCACCGGAACACTTTGCACTAGCGCCAACAAGCACCGAACGTGTAAACGTGAGCATCCATGGCCTCTCTAAACACTATTCAACTCTGTTTCATCTCGCAAAAATTGTCACGTACTTCTGTAGTACCTATGTTCACTTCCTGGCTGGTCCCCATGTTTCCCCAAACCTCGCGTGTCCTGCATTCGCTTCCTCAAATCGACGGCAGCTCTGCAAGTTGGATTAGATTAGATGTGTCAGGTGCATCATGCAAAGCGGCGCCCACCTGGGGCCCCGCGCCCGAACCTCTATCTACCTAGTCAGTACTATAAGATATCCTGACTGCAGCGGACATATCTTGCAGAAGGCCCAGTGACTGAGTAGACCGCGCACAATGCGTTTTGCGGTAATACCCAAATGAGCCGCGGCGTGCGTCAAAAAGGCAAAAATCAAAAATCGAACCTCAGCCATCCCGACGTCCTTACCCCCTCGCTACCTTCTGTTTACCTTCCTTCACGCTACCTCCCTTGTCAATCTATTCCCTTGGTCTACCTCCGTTCTGACCTCTGAACCCCGACCTCCCTAATCCGGTAACTCTGAGCCTACAAGCTCCGGAACTCCGGACTTTGGACTTTGTTTGATCTTGCTTGCTCGACAAGTCAGTCCCCTTGGACTTTGTCCCTTGCCATCCTCTTCATCCTCTTCTCTGTTCTGCTCCGATCATCTCGGACTTAGTTCCACTTAGTCAGCGTAGAACTCCGGCTTAGTCAGCCCCAAACTCCGGTCAAGTCCGACCCCCTCGTTCCTTCAGAAATTAAGGACAACTGCAGGAGGTCTCAGAGTGTTGCTAATAGCTTCACTGAAGTCCTTCCCCTCCGTGCCACACCTCCGTCCGGACTCCGTCTGAACTCCAGACCCTTCCAGACCCCGGAACTCCAAGCTCCGGACCTACTGTGTGGCACATCCCTAACATTGGGCTAGGTAAGCCATCCTTTGTATCCTCTTTAGTCAGCATAATATTAACTTGGTCCTTGGGCTAGATTTGACTTGAAAGTCTACGCTTGGTGTTAGCCAGCCTTCACGCTCGCTGCCCTTGGGTTAGATCATATTAGTTTCTTTGTTGTAGGCGTTGTCTGGTCGCGTTGAGTCTAGCTCCGCAACATTACTTGCCCATCATTAGCTTTCTGATAGGTGCCACATACAAAATCTTGTAATGTCCACAGGGTTAGGGTTGGATTCCAATAGCACAGCTTAGGGTTAGCCTTAGATCAGTTCTAATCACAACTCTTACCACATGTAAAGCCTCTCCCTGGGCGCTTGTGCAACCCTACCTTGCACAGCACATGTGCCCCTCACTGCCCACTACTGTATATGCCTATAGGCTATGCACTGTATCAAAACATGACTTTAACACATGATATAGTGTAGCTCAAGCGCTACACCCTTAGTTTCCTTTCAGAGCTATAGTCTGGTAGTAGTAGTTATATGACATATGCCACTACAAGAGGCTAGTCAGCTATCAGTTGAGGTGTTATGTACTGACATATAGGGTGAAATCTGTTTTTGCATTCCATCCATTATTGCCAGTCACTGAACTGAGGCAATTGAGGAAATGAACTCATGCATGCATCCTGGCCTAGAATACATAAAATGGTAAAGATGAGGTATGTCTTGAATTGAGAGTGCAATTTGAAACAATGGAAGCCATACTAGCACCATGATGCAGTGCTTGTAAAGAGCTTCTAGATGAGGTATAATATATGCTATATGGATGAGAAATGTTGAAATAGCAATGGAAATATTGTCATTGTAAGGTTGAAATTGAGGTATTTCCTTTTTCTATCCTAGAAATTTGCGTCAATCAGGACCATAACAACACCATGTTGTAGAGCTTGTAAAGGGCTTTCTAATGATATATAATATGTGCTTTATGGATGAGAGCTGGTGAAAG